CTGCTGAAGCAGGGTCACCTACAGCAGGCTGCACAGGACCTTGTTCAGGCAGGTCTTGAATGTCTCCAGAGAAGGAGACTCCACAACCTCCCTGGGCAGCCTGTTCCAGTGCTCCGTCACCCTCAGAGGGAAGAAGTTCTTCCTCATTAATTTTCATTCAATGATGACCGTGTTTGAGTTTCTAGTGCCTGATTTCAGGACAAAGTCAATTCAGTTTGGCTCCCTGAGGCACAAGTGGATTCTGAAGGTAGGAAATTAGATAAATAGAAATCAAGGAGCTTACAACTGACTGCTGGTTATTTTATTGGAAAAAAAAAATGGCAGTAAATATTTAAAAAGCACAAACCTACATAAATACAAAGTTAGGCTTATACTTTCACATTCCATTTATCAATTAAAAGGCGGAGAAGGGCACTCTTCAGAAGGCTAATGTAACTGAAGTAATAGGAAGGGGAATGCCTGAAGTAGATATATTTTTTTGTTATTTTACTGTTGTTCCATATTTATACGTATTTCCTCCATATTTATATATTCATGTAGTACAAAGAGAGTTCAATTTTTCATATGTGATAGAACTGATAGAGCATTATTTGTTAAGAAGATAGCTGCTTCTGTGAAATAAAAGGTGGTATATGAACATCGCTTTGTTGTCTCAGGGCTGCAGAATACCTTCAAAGGCGGTTTGAAGCCCAACAGTACAAGATTAAAGTGGAAAAACAGCTGGTATGTAAATACTGAATCATAGAATAAAGTCTGTGGAATGAAAATCCAAAAGATGAACTGACGTCTTTCTAATAACAGACTGTAACACTGACAGTTAGAAAGTTCTGCTTTAGCAAATACATTGATCTGCTCCATAGTGCTCATTTTGAGGTTTTATTGTCCAATACAAAACTATAGCAATGTAAAATTCTACTACAACTTTTTTCCTCCAAAAATACACACTTGCCTTACTGCACTCTTCAGTGGAACAGGGAGAGTGAATTGAGTGAGCACTGAAGGAAAGGATTCTACATGAAAATTCCTTTACTCTGGGATTTATTTGTACATCCACAGGGACTGCGACCATCCTCTGCTGACGCTTATCATGACCAAATACAGCAGCAGAAAACAAAGGAAGAGCATCTCAAAAATCATCAGCAGGCTTTGTCTGGAAAGAATGAAATGAAAGAACAGGTAAATGAAACATCTTCCTTAGCTGGTTAAACCTGTTGTCTTACTCCCCTTGCCAACAGTATTCTTTACGTAAGAATTGATTCTTTTCCATCTGACCTCTAGGAAAATCTGAGCTGTTTTCATTTGGTTCCATCTTACACAAACTGGTGAAGACTTGCACAAAAGCTGATGTCCATAATTGTTTCATAAACCATGGCTTTGATTTTGGTTTCACTTCTACTGAGATTAGAGGAATTGCATCACTGAACAAAGATTGGAGGACAATAGATCCTCACATTTACAAATCAGAGAAAATAGTCATACATGCATTATTGGTGTATGTATATTCATTGTTCATGTCATACTATGACATCTAGAACGTGATATAATAGTATGTGATGCATACGACTTCCATGGTATGTTTCAACTTTTGGAGATTATTTTATACAGAAACAATATACTTTTCTGGTTTTGCTTTTGCGTGACAGAGAAAACAAACTGATACTTCTTTCTTACATGAACACATGTAAATACATTTTCTAGCTTTGATTTATTAAAAAAAGTCAGAATAAATATGAATATATTAACTTCTACATAATGGTCAGACTTTGTAATAAGAACATTCTCATCATGTACACATTCTTCAGAGACTGTGGCTGTTTAGTTCCACAAAGTCTGAACTAAATAGGCCAGAAAATGAAATTTACAGATTTGTCCATTTGTAACATGGGCAAATTGGGATAGGCTCTCATATAAACAGTAACAGTGATGGCCTTAACACAAAGGTTATCTGTTGGCCAAATTTGAATTTTTTGCTTCAAAGCATAGGAATGTTGAAGCTTCTCCAGGAAAAGACTACCAGGTTTTGTTTCATTTTGGGGAGCATGTTGCAATACAATAAATAATACATAATTTTTTTCCTCCTAATTTCTAGTCCTCTGGTTTTGGATTGCAACCTTAGAGTCATTACTCAGACAGTCTTCAGGTTATTCTTGGAATTAGCTGTTTTACATATAATTCTACAGAAAATCTAGCACGAAACAGTCTGGAAAACTTCAAAAAGGTTGAAGTCTGGAAGAGTTACAACCCCAAAATGTCATCTAATAGGAAGTATCAAGCAATCTTTGAGATTGGCAGTAAGGGACACTGATGCCTTTTTCTTGTATAGACTCAGTTTGATATCCATAGAATATTTTGTTTAGCTAGTATTATTTCTGTATGTATTTCTAATACATATAGAATCATAGAATCATTAAGGTTGGAAAAGACCTCTAAGATCATCAAGTCCAACTGTCAACCCAACACCACCATGCCTGCTAAACCATGTATTCTACCTTACTGTTCTTTAATAGGAGTACCTGAAACAATTGCAGAAAATTCGTGAAGAATACCACAACAATATAAAAGAATTCAGATTTAGAGCAGGAGTAGTCCAGGTAACAAAGCTCAAACATATGCGCAGTTGTATTTCCTTTTTCTTTTTTAAGCTAGTACACTTAATTCGAAATTGAAATTAACATTTTATAAAAATGTTCCCCAGGAGAGTCAAAAAGTACAAGATAAAACCTACCTTGTGAGGCAAGGGAAAGCTGAAGACCACTCTGAAACCAAAGATGCCGCTGGAACAAGAGAAGAATCACTTCAGGTATCAGTACCATCTCGTAGTCTAAACAGAACTTTTTATACAAGTCCTGCATGGTCTTTGATTCATCCTCTGCGACAAATCTGAAAAATGGTAAAGCTTAAATCTCACGTGATATTGGCACTGCATATGAAAGTCTCCCTTGGTTCCCTTCATGAACAGCCTGGAAAGTTTATTTGGCTGAGTCCTGACTTGTTTCGGTAATTCTTTTTCATCTTTAAGTATTAGGATGTACTTTTACTTAATTTATGTTTATGGTATGTTTCTTTTGCTTGCTATCTGAGTGAAGAAGCAGTCACTCACAGTGCAAATCTTCATGAGAAATCTGTGCAAAAGATACAGCAATTCATGAGAGAGAGGGTAGCACTGTGTTGGTAGTGAGAATTTAGCCTGAAGAGAAGGCTGAGAGGGGGCCTTATAAATGCCTATAAATATCTTAAGGGTGGGTGTCAGGAGGATGGGGCCAAACGCTTTTCAGTGGTGCCCAGCAACAGGACAAGGGGCAACGGGCACAAACTGAAGCACAGGAAGTTCCATCTGAACATGAGGAAGAACTTCTTCACTCTGAGGGTGACGGAGCACTGGAACAGGCTGCCCAGGGAGGTTGTGGAGTCTCCTTCTCTGGAGATATTCAAGACCTGCCTGGACAAGGTCCTGTGCAGCCTGCTGTAGGTGACCCTGCTTTGGCAGGGGAGTTGGACCAGATGACCCACAGAGGTCCTTTCCAACCACTGGCATTCTGTGATTCGGTGATTCTGTGAATCCAGTTTTATGTGGACTCCTTACATAAAAAAAAAAAAGAAAAATTGGGGAGAAGTGGGAGGAAGAGGCAGAGCCAAAGCTTTCCAGCTGCAGGACTCCTTCACTTGTTTCTCATCAAATGCTACCAAAGCAGCTACTAGAATGGTGTTTCAGAATTGTTCCACTTTTACTTTGCAATATTGGTGTTGTGAACACCAGATGAGGTTTCCAGACCACATGGAGTTCTGCAGTAACAAGTCCACTTTTCCTCAAGTGAAATGAATGGAAGCCTCAATTTATGAAAACTAAGCTCAGTGTGCAAATTCCCAGTCTATTCTGAAGGGAAGACAGCTACTGGGATTCTTCAGTTGGGATTTGCCCCGTGCAGTGTAGGCCTTCCTACTCCTGCAAGGGGCAGACTTCCACATAAACCAGTGACAGACATTGCTACCCTATTGCAGATGGAACTTGGGCCAAACCTGCTGATGTTAGTAAGATTCTCTTCAGTGATTTTCATGGATCCTGGATCTTGCTTTTATTAAAATAAATTCACACATCACTTCATGGGATAAAGTAGGTTATATGTAGCCAGAGCCACGACAGGACAGAAATTATATTCCCATTGATCTAATGGGAAATACATGATAACGAAAAAGACACACTAGGTTTTGCACCTGCTTGATGTCACCTTAGTTCACCGGCACACCATCTACTGGAGAAACTGCACAGATATTTTTAAAAAGTAAAATCTGTGAATTGTGGTTTCACCTGAGGTTCAGGATGTGCCTTAATGGCAGCAGATCACTGAATGAGCTGCATACAATTATTTACTTTGCTTTTGTCTGACAGGTTCTAGCATAGGACATAAGAATATGAAAAGGAGTAATTATTAAATATTTTTTAGGTGTTACCAGAAAACAAGATACTATGAAACATGGCTGTACTTTCTACAGACATAGGTTTCCATTATAATCTTGATTTTTATCACTTCCAAAGTTTTCCAGAATGAAATCAGCCTGAGTCATCTTGCATATGATCATGAAAAATAAAAGATGTGTTATTTACTTGTTGACACAGTACCGTATCCTCCAAACACAAGTTTTTTTAAAATCAGAGGTTTGCACTTTATGCAACGTTTCCTATTTTTCTTTTTGCCAGATAAGCCAGAATTATAATATTTTTCAGTATTAAATCTAAATAAGGCAATGAATGGAATATTCTTACAAACATATATACAAGGAAATCAGTGACTACATTTACTACTTAAATAAGTCTTTTTTTACAGGGTATGCACATATTCTGGTTCCAAAGGGTGTATTTTAAAGTTGGGGTATTTTTCTTCTTCTAGGACATGGAAGAAAGCTTTAAACGAGTCAGACTCCAGGATAGGCAAGACCAAAAAATCTTAGAAAAGAAACATAACACAAAGGTATCCATCCTTATTTTTGTATTTTTATTATTTTCTTCTTACGTCTGTACATTTCAAATGATAGTGTTATTGTGGTAGCTCTGGAAATCAAGTTATTTGACAGTCAATGAAGAGTACTGGTCTATTGTTTGTTGAAAGTTGATATGAGAAGATAGAATCACTAAGAAATGCCTAGTAGAGCTTTTCTGATCATTTGAGGGAGACTCGCTTTAGATATTCCCAGATAGTCATCAGTCCATACCTACTCATCTTTATATCAAACTGCTCTAGTAGTGTATGGGAACTCACGTTTACTCAAAGTTTAAGTGATGTCAAGTCAGGCTGCAAATGTTTTAACATTTTGTTATAAAACATTATTCTCTATAGTGCTTTTAAATTGTAGAAGGGGATGGGAATTGAATGGAAATGGACATAAGATATCAGGAAGGTCTCTGACCATAAGATCATTGTGAAGTGGCCTAAAGATCTTTTGTGAAATACTTCATGGAAGCAGTACAGTATTCAAATTTTAATACTGGTTGAGAATGAGCTGTAAGAACCAACTGTATATATTTCAAGGATTGAATTAAGTGATTATCAAAGACACCTTTCCTTAAAATCAAAAGTGGATGCAATCATTTGAAAATATACATAAACTATATTTAGAGAAGTCTATTTTTGTCCAATTTGTTCAACTTGGATCTTGCTAAATAGAAGAAAAATATTGTTAAAGTTTTATTTTCAATAGAAGAATAATTTTCAAGTTTGTAGTTCCATATAAACTGTGTACATTTAATTAAATGTTTTTATTTAATAAAATGAATGAAGTGTGTGAATTTTCTTTAGGGAGGAATAAAGTTTGAAATTAATTTAGATGTTTGTGTTCCTGAAGAAGACAGCATTCAAGAAGCAGAGGTACATTGCAATTGTATTCAAAGCATTTACATTAGTAATGTGAAACCATGACAGTAGCTCCATGATCTAAGGTTTGTTTCCATTACCATCGTCCTCTGCCTTTGTCATTATGAAGCTTCCTGTTAAGGATTTGTTGACATATTGCATGTATCTGGCCGTCTTCAAGAGGATAATTGCTTAGAAGAAAATTGGATGATATCTGGGTCAATCCTTCACATGGTAAATGAGGACAGAGTGCAGATATTTAAATTTTGTAAACTGGGCTTGAGAGGAAGAACTCCTCTCAAAATTGAGTTAGTCTGCAAATACCAAATTTGATTTGCAAATTGTTTTAGTACATTTCTGTTTCTTTTTGCTGGTATTGTATTACAAAGCAAGAATAATATTGAGATAAACCTGCTGTTACATAGAAAAAGTGGAAGTGAGACTACAGACAACAACATGTGATTTCATTAATTAAAATGATATTTGTGGCTGATCAACACATAATAGCTACCTATTAAGATTTTTATTAGTATATTAGAATGTTTTAATACTTGTAACAGCAACATTGAAAATATAGTTTCTTTCTAGTGTACATATTCTTAATTTATAAAGCACTGTTTTGTCATTCTGTTGTTTCACATCTCTGCAGAACCCACACGCAGACCTCTGATACACAATCACAATGTGACTTTTGAGTTCTGCTGCTTCACTTTTTGTTACACAGTTTTCCTGTGCATACATGAAAATGCCTGGCAAACACAGTAAAATGAGAAGTGATTAGTTATTGTCCCATATTTGTTTTCTCTTTCCAGAGTAACCTATTGTTTTTTCAGGTGCTAGATAAACTCAGTGAGGCTTTAACTTTTGTGGATGGTGAGAATCTTAAGGAGAAATTTGTGGAAGTTTATGAAGATCATATGGACAGAGCTTTGGAAGAACTGTCTGTACACCAAACAGGTATTTCTTGGGGAAATGCAATGCTGAGTATTAATCCTGAAAATTACATAGGAGTTACGTAAATTCAGCAACTCCAGGCTATAGCAAGTTTATCTGATGTGCTCTCTCTTCATATCACATAATGTTATAATGACACTGAGGTCTACTTAAAAAGGGGGAAATAGCTTTTTCCTTTTTTTCTTTTTCTTCCCCTTAGAGTCCAATGACACAGATGATACAAAAGAAAACAGAAAACATTGGCAAGCTGGAGCACCTCAGACACTACTGAATTTTTTAGCTGATGCTGATGTCACATCTGTATCTCCTACTATGGCTGAAAACGAACTTGGTAAGAAAGTCTTGTTTTTCAGTGAAAGCAGGGAGCTGCTAAGGAGCTGGACTCCTTACAGACCTTTGCCAAAAAAATTCCATACCAGAACGGTCACGTGATGTGGCAGGCTTTTAATTGCAGGACTTAATAATGAGGTCATGGCATGTGTTAAACCACAGAATGCAGTCATCATTTTCCCCTCTGTCTAATATTGCAATGACGTTGTGCTGCTCGTACGTACTAAGAGAGCTGCATTTCATGAATCGCTCTGTGGCCTGGGTAACAAGGGCTAAAAATGCCAGTCTGTGCAACTAATCATTGAATCATAGAATGGTTTGGGTTGGAAGGGACCTTAAAGATCATCTGGTTCCAACCCCCCTGCCACGAGCAGGGACACCTTCCACTAGACCCGCTTGCTCAAAGCCCCATCCAAAGTGGCCTAGAACACTTCCAGGGAGGCGGCATCCACCGCTTCCTTGGGCAACCTGTGCCAGTGCCTCACCACCCTCATGGTGAAGAATTTCTTCCTAATATCTAATCTAAATCTGCCCTCTTTTAGTTTAGAGCTGTTCCCCCTTGTCCTGTAACTACACACTCTTCTGAAAAGTCCCTCCACTTTCTCTGGCCTTGAGTTGATGACATACAAGAACCAGGGCAGTCAGTATGGTTTTGGTTTTCTGCTCCACACACTAGTGTTGCTACCCAGTCACAAGTGCATCCTCACACAGGTGAGGCTGTGGCAATGCTCATTCCGGAAAAGGCAAATCACTGGATTTCTTACCGTACTGCTGCACATATTCCCAGGCAGCCAGGTATCTCCAGTGACTGGTTGCTGCAAACAAGGAGCTCGTACAGCATTCCAGCATGCTCCCAACACCCCAGGTACACAGAAATAATCTGAGGAGTTTGAATGGACAGTGAAGACAAAGCAGAATATCATTAATATGCCACTTCTTGTTCATTCTGCCTTAGACGAAAGAGCATAGGGTGCAAAAGAAATGGGAAACAGCCCCAAGAAGCCAACAAGTTTGCAAGCAAGGACTGGTCAATGAAGCTGCACCTGTCTATTCCAGGCTTAATAAGCAGTTACTTGGGCATTAAAACTGGTGTTAGAAATTTTTAGTGACAAACAGTCCAAACTATTTTTTCTCTACAGTATTGATCAGATGTAATACTTACAAAAAAACCAAGAGTATTCCACAAAGGAAAAAAAAAAAAGGTTCCAGCATTGCTCAAAAGGAAGAAATCAGTATCAAGACTGGCAAGTCTGAATCTAACAAAAGACAGTGCAAAGCTACAGTCATGCTGTAGTGACCTGAGAACCTTGCTGTTCTTCAGCTGACCGTGCTCTTCTGCCTGAAGACATCCCAGAAAACAGGAAGCAGTGGAAGCAAACACCACCAGGGACACTCCTGAACTTCTTAGCAAAAGCAGAGCTGTCTAATGATTCCTTCATCCGTCTTGAGGAAGAAATAGGTAGGATGTTTCTTACTGTAAATTCTGCCAGTTTTTCTTTAATGTATTATTTCTTCTACCACTGGCAGGGGTTCTGTGATGAGACCCAACGTTTTGAAGCAGTTGGAAAACTAGAAAAACATGGGCAGCCTGTCCCAGCAGAGATACATGGGCAGCCTGTCCCAGCAGCCACTGCTCTGTCCTGTAGCAGTGAAAGGCCTCTTTCAGAACGCTGCTGGTTTCAACAGCAGGGAAAAGGGCAAGCCCTGCTTACCAACTATTACTTCATACACAATTCTTTCATTTGCTTGGGTAGACAGAGGCATGCTACTACTGCTAGCAAGGTGGCAGGTACCACAAACCTGGATCTAGCCCCTGCAACTGTTAAAGAACCCTGTAAAAAGCATTTATACAAATACATGTATTTCTCTAGAACAGCTGTAAATTGTAGCACATGGTGGCTTAAACTACAATGGTGACTTATGTTACAACATGGTCCATGCTGATACAGCTGACGCTGAAATTGATTCAAACTCACACTGCTGCGCACTTTCCTGAAGTAACAGACTGTTTTAAAGATGACATTTACTTTGCATCAAAGCTGTTAGCTGAAATGCCAGAGTATTTTCCACAGAAAGATGCTTTAAATGTAACTGGACACTGTGTTTTTATGCACAATTGCCAATCTACTGAACGTACAACTGGATGCCACGACTTCTAAGCCAGCTGAAGTGTACATGCCATGTTTCAACAGTTTTAATGGATCGTGAGAAATATCTTTCATTTGCAACTGTGCAGTCAGCACTCTCCTGCTAATTATGCCTCACATACATGTTTTCTTATAGTATAACAAGCTCTTGTAAAAGTGCCCCATCCTGAACGCTAAACCAGCTAAATGTACCAGCTAAATTCCTCTCCTAAGACAAGCTTTATTGCTTACACATTAAAAATAAACAAACAACAAAATGAAATTCAAACCACTTTTCACTAATGTCAGCAGTTCATAGGGCTAAAGCAAGAATAAGTCACACAGGTATTCTAATTGCTGTTGCTTTTATCAGTTACATTTATTAATATTTGGCACTCCCAATACCCAGTTCTGCCCCACAGAATCACAGAATCGCAGAATTTTCAGAGTTGGAAGGGACCTCTGTGGGTCATCTAGTCCAACCCTCCTGCCGAAGCAGGGTCACCTACAGCAGGCTGCACAGGACCTTGTCCAGGCGGGTCTTGAATATCTCCAGAGAAGGAGACTCCACAACCTCCCTGGGCAGCCTGTTCCAGTGCTCCGTCACCCTCAGAGGGAAGAAGTTCTTCCTCATGTTCAGATGGAACTTCCTGTGCTTCAGTTTGTGCCCATTGTAGCCCCGCTACTCAAGCTGACATTGTGGAGTGCAGTATTACCCAAACCGACAGATTCCTGTTGGATCACATGCAGAATTTAGTCTTTATACTAGAACAACAACTCTTTGTTTCTGCATTGTTTTTGTTTGTTGTGCATTGTTCTCACATCTTCAGGGTAGGGTTGCCCGTCAGTCTTTGAAAGTGAGCATTTTTAGGTAACCGCAGCTACATCCAAGTAGTAATTTTCAGTCTTTGCCAGATCCCTGTAAATCCAGATCCCTGTATTGAACTTAAACCTACTAACATCAGATTGCCTTTCTTACTTAACTTCTATAGTCCTTTGGTTATGGACTACAAACACACCAGGTTCCACTGAGCAGAAGTTACAAACCACTGACTGAAACGTGTGACCAAGAATAACAGAAGCATGGTATTTACATTGTTGTAATTTGAACATACACACACAAAATTGAATCATTTACGTATTTGTTCTTACTTTACATACACTTTTACAGTTAGCTAGTATACAAATAAAGGAACATTTCTCTTCATTTCCAGAAGGGAGATTAACTATGTTGCTTCCAAAAGAAAAGAAGGAAGATTATGCAGAAACTTACTCTGCTGTTGCTGTTGATGAAGGCACACTTGAGCCAAGATCAGATGATGAAGACACGTAAGTCAAATACACCAGAAGAAAAATCCATACAACTGAACAGTTTTCATGAAATGACAGGTTGCCTTGCCTAAAGCTTTTCTTCTGTTCTTTCAAATTCATAAAAGAAGAAAACTCCTTTTACAGTCTGCTAATTTAACTTTTAATACTGTAATTTAGTATGTCACATGCCAACGCTGCCATTAAAAGTGTTATACAGAAGTATTAACATGGTTTTGCAGCTCTTGTTCTTTTACCTTATAAATACAGGTAAACAATCTCATGGAGAAAGAAGAAACAGCTCACATTATGTGTGTAGCTTGTATATTCTTTGTAAATTATTTTAAAAAAAATCTTGAAGGCCTTGAAAGGAGAAAAGCTTGTGACAACAATACATTTAATTAATATAATTACCTTGTTTTACTTTACAGAAACTTTGAAGATTCTGAAGATGACCTAGAGGAGCTAGCAGAATCTCTGGAAAAAGTGGCAACTTCTCCAGCAGAAAGAACCGTGGAGTCTCACATCCTTTCAATAAATAAAGGTCAAACAGATGAAGAAAAGATGAGTTTACCTAGCGAACTACTTGGACAATCTGATGATGATTTAGAAGATAACCATGAGTCATCTAGCGTTGACACACATGATGAAAAAGGCAAGCAGGAAGCAAGAGCTACTTAGAACAGCAGCACAGTTACTGTTTCAGAACTTGTTTGAAATTTCAGCTACATCAGTAACAAAATTGAAGGATAGCTGACATTCAATGCCAAGTAAATCAACTGCTTTTCAACAGTGCTAAACACTCAACAGAGGGTTGTTGCTATTTTGTTTAAAAGGAGAAAAAAAAACCCAGGCTACCTTTTAGATGTCTAAATGTTGAACAATCCTCACACCCAGACTGAAATGCGTTCATCTTTATTATTCTCATCTACCTGTGTCATCTCTGAGAATGCTTGCTTGAGCAAATTTCTGATTGCATATGCTCTTTAACCATTTTTGTATCATGTACGAAAGTCTCCTAGTCCATGTAGTGTATTTCCCTAGGTCAATCACCTCCTGGTTTTAAGTAGCTCTTCCAGCTTTTCTTAATCTCTGTGTACTGCAAATCCAGCTTTAAAATCCACAGTTGCATTTACACAGTACTGACCCTACACAGTTAGCACTAACTGCTCAGCAGTTTTATGTTGCAGAAGTAAAAGGGTTTATTAGCACCATGAGAACTGTGCATCCCCCAATTCCTAATAAAACATGGAACAGTAGGTTCTTCCAACCTTTTTTCATATACAGAATTGCATGTAACCCAGGTGAAGCTTAGAAGGAAAACCACATTCTAAAGTCTGATTTCAGTAGCTTTTTGCACTTCTCTTACTTTGCTAAACATAAAATACTGCTTTGATGGCTCAAAAAGGGACTATATGTTTTTCCATTTTTTATACAAAAGCAGATGTCCAATTTTTGAACATTTTGTTCCCTGTGTTCTCGGTTTTATAATAAGCAGTAGTTTAGGGCTTAAATGTTCATGTTTGTGTGACATTTAATTATGCCCTCTAATCTAGGCCCTTCTATACCCTAGGAACAGAAAGCCTTTCAACAGAATATGGTTGGAAAAATACCATTAAGTTGTCATACTGTGAAAGGGCATGAGGAAGTAGTTAATATAAGGATCACGGACAAGTGTAATTACTACACCTATTAAAAACCAAGCTAACAAAAACACCATATGATTAACCTAAAGGAATCACTGTAGATAATGAAATCTCCAGAACCACAATTAAAATGCCACATAATAGCATTTTGCCACCAATGGGGAACAGCAAATTGAAAACGTGCTACAGATTCTGCGAAAAAATCTGGGAAAAAAAGCTATCAAACAGAAGTGTTTACTTTAAAAAATGGGACTATGGGTGAAGACTGAAAGTATTGAATAAATAAAAGAACTTCCAGATGTAGTTCTGTTACTAAGGCAATATGATGGTTCTGTGAATCTAGAGGGTTTTGCAGTGCACCATACTGTCATGTAGTCAACACAGAAAATTTTCAGGAGCATTTCTTTCCCAGTAAAAAAATCTCTATTACATAAAGCAGATATCTGGACAGAAAGAAAAAAAAAATCTCTTTATTGAGTGGGACCAAGGGATCATAGGTGACATACATTTACAGGTGACACACAGTCAAATATAAAAAGTTAATTTTATTCATATACATTTTTATTAATATATTTAAATAATGGCTCCACAGATAACAGGAATGTCTCTTCAAAATGCTGGTCAGAAAACCTGTGCACAGACTGACGAGCGTTTTCTCTGATCGCTAACCTCTTTTCAGGTGACAAACAAAGGATATAAGCCATCGTCTCAGCATAATTGTCCTCATTTTCTGCTAGGAAGCCTGTAATATGTCCTTCATAGGGTACCACGATATCTAATTTGGGGCCTCCGGAATTGTGAGCCAGGATAACTTTGCCAGCTGCCATACATTCAACTACTCCTGTGAAAGATACAAAACATGCTGATATGAGTGTGCACATCACATACTTTGGCTTTCTATAAAGCACTGGGAAGTTAAACCGCAGTAAAATTCACCTAGAATTATAAGTTACTATAGACTGCCATTCTAGATCAGTTCGAAAAACACAGAGTAAATGGTATCATAAGAAAAAACAATTTAACTTTTTCAGTCCTAAGGACTGAAACAATAGTTTCTCTTAAACAGACAAAAATGAAATTAGAAATCAGATTTAATTGGTTAAGTTGTGGTTCTTGTAACATATCTGATTTACCTGAGATAGACTACATCACCAGTAAACTATTCTATGATTCCATATACGGTGGGAAAAAAGCTAGATATTGAAACAATTGTAAAGATAAAATGGAAGGTAGCTCTGTGACAGAACACTGCATAGTTCTGTTCTGCTCTGTGACAGAACACTGCAACACTGGTTTTATGGTATGGTGGCAGCTGCAAAAAATAATTAAAAATTAGAGCTGAATGTGACTGTATTCACTGTCTCATTCACAATGAAGATTTTTCACATTTAGAAAGACACACAGAAAAGCGGGCTATGCACATTTCAATCATGACACTCAGAAGCTCAGTATTTTGCAGACAAATCTATAGCTTTTGACAACTCAGCAAGACAAACTAGTAAAAATTGTTATCGCTACATCTGTATTTTTATGGATGAAGTTTTAATGAAATGGGTATCTAATAGTAAGATTTTCACAGCTAAAAGCAGTGGGACAGGAATAGCATATAACACATACATCAATTCTCCTCCATGGTTCCAGAACAGATGTCAGAAATCGCTTTGCTGATTCTTCTCAGTTCTGATTTGATTTTTAAAAAGTTCCCCTAGCTCAAAAATTGTCAACTATAAATAATGCTCCAAAGTTTTGGAACATATTTTTTACAGGTAAAAAGCCACTGGAGATGAAGGTGAAATCATGCTGAAATCCACAATCACAGTGTGATTCTATCACTTTTTTTTACAATTGGTAAATATAAGAAACCATTATTTTCATTTTGTAGCAGTTGCTTCTGGGAGACGCTTCAGAGTAAATTTTTTTGCACCAAGTTCCCACAGACTATCAATTGCTACTCCTGATACTTACTTAACTTGTATTCCAATAAAGTCTGGTGACATTAACTGCAGTTTAGTCACATGATAGCAAAGTACGGCACCCATCTGCTCAGCTGCTAACTTGCCCTGTTGTAGATTTACGGCAGATGGGCAATCTTACATTCCCTTTCAAGGTCAGGACTCAACTAATCGCAATGAACTGAGCCCAACACCTTAATTCTGTATGACAGCACACTGCACATTAGCTCCCAGCTCCTCTTCGGCATTCTGCTCCGTGGTACGGTGACTGATTTAAAGACTCAGTTGCCTCAGCACAGGTGCCTAGTGCAATGAGATGACCAAAAGCACCTGGTGGCATCTACATTAGGCTTACAAATAGAGGACAGGATCTGTGGGAGACTCACACCTCTGAAAAAGCAGCTAGAGCCCCATGACATACGCTAGACTTTTCAAATGGCAGCTGAGGCAGGTGGAACACAATCAAAATCTCTACACATGGATGTCTACACATCAACTGTGTGTAAGCTCCCCCTGCAGTCGGTGGAGCCAGGGCACAATCTAAGGTGCTTTAACAGAAGCACCTGCTGCCTTTGGAGGCTCCACTGGGTTGGGAAGGCATCTTGTGTAAGGCTGGAAAACCTAACACAGGATCTTAGGGTGACCCACAACCTTGCAGAGTGATAGCTGGAGGTCAGGTTGGACATCTTGGGCAGCACAGCTGGGACTACCGCTCTGTTTAGGTGACTAGAGGATGCCCATAACTAAGTCTACGATGTCCACAGCGCTTCAGTTTGCGCTACAGTAGCTCCTAGTGGTTAGTCAACTGAATTGGTCCTGTAGGGTCTACTTCAGCTAGATCACCTCGAGAATGAGAGCTGGACACCTTCTTGGCATGCAGACCTCTACGCTTAGACATCCACACTGAGGAGCCTTAATCATGAACCGAAGCCCTCCCCAGCTGTGTCCCCAGCTTGGACAAATGGCTGAGCACTGAGGAAAGATACTGACCGATCCCGAAGTGCTCATTCCACATCGTATGCAGGCCAATGGTGGCCTCGGCCAGGTGCCTCTTTAGCTCCTCAAAGGGAATGTTTGTTCGGAACATCACATCGTTACTAACTCCCAGCTCTTCACAAAGATGTTTAAGGTTATTTACACGCTCTTCATCTTGCTGGTTACGACAGCCTCCAATTAAGATAAGCTTCAATGATGGCTTCTGCCCCAGTCTCTTCTCTTTCAGCAATTTAGCAAAGGCTCTGATTTGCAAAGGATGATCTTTTTCAGGCCTGAACTGGCTAACAGAAACAATGGAATATTCAGTGGTGCTCTTTTCCTCTTCCAGTGGAATATCCAGGAAGGTCTGAACATCGCACGGTGGATACACAACGCTAGTGCAAGCCCCAGCTCTCCAAAGGGAAAGGATGTGATTTAGTGTCCAAGAAGAATTAACCATAATCACATCACTGCAGGAACCAACCAATCCGTAGAGGAAGGCAAAGAAGTAGTAGTAGACAAGTTTAAATTTGCTGAAAAGGGGACTGTTTGTAATGAAGGCTGCATTGTTAAACCTGGTATCCTGATTCCTAACTACAGAAAGCATATCGGTGCTGATAGTGGGATAATGGACATAGCATCCAACGCGACAACCTCCTAAATATTTAAAGAGGGGAAGCGTGAAGGCATAACCCATTGAGTCAATATAAATATCAGGAACACACTTTAGAAGAGCTTCCCAGCCGAGAAACACTGATCCTAAACTTTGTCCCAGCAAAGTGAAGTGAGGGTAAAGAGAAGCTTCCACAAGGTAGCGTTTTTCTAGAAATACAAACTTCACAGGATGAGTTAATTTAATATTGAATCTTCTGAAAGCGCCTTCTACTATTTCTTCTCCAGTGGCATCTCTGTCGCCAGTGTAAACAACACACGTTACATTTCTGTACCTGCAAGAGTAAAGAGAAAGAATTTCATACAGTCTTCCAAACTAAAATATTATCCATTCAAAATTACTTTAAAAGTATGCGAGAACAAATGTCTGGCCTAGATGTGAACTTATTTTAATTAAATTATACTTTTCTCTATACTTCTACATTTTTTTCTGATC